TTTGGTTCTTAAGAAAAAAATATTATTTTCGTCAATTATTTTGTGGGTTACGGTTGAAGGTTATTAGGCAGTGGAGCGATTTATCTTTCCGTAGGAAAACTTGGTTAGAGTTTAGAGCACCTTATTTGCTCAACCTTGTGCTTGTGAGTATCATTATTATTACCCTATTACTGTCTTATTCTTCAAATTTATTATTGTTGTTTCTTTTATTTGGGTATCTTTACTACTTTTTCTTTTCTTTCTACGGTATTTTCAGCACAACCTTTTACTCGTGTTTTTTTTATTTTTTAAACCGTTTTTGAAAATTCTTTTCTTGAGCTAGGTCTATTGAAAACAATTATCTTGTGAAATCTTTTTATTATTGTTCGGCCAAAGAGGTACTTAGATGAAAAAAGAAGTCTATAAAATTAAAATAGGTTGTTAGGAGGTTACGAGTATTCCAATTCTTATTCCAAAATTCAAATCCTATAACGTACAAAGTAAGATTAAGATCTTCTGACCAGCTTACAAAGAGACCATAATAGTAGTATACAACTTTGGACCTAAAACCCCTTAGTCTACTAAGAACAAGCTATTGTACTTTTGTCCTTTGCACACAAAATAAATAGATAGTACAAAAGGTTTCAATCAAAAAAAGCCCTAATTTTTTTTGTTTTTTTTGTTTTTAGGAATTGATATTCGAAATTCAATGCCCCAAACTCTTGTAAGAACCTAAAACTTAAAGAAAGCCTTAATATCATTGTCACATTCAAATAACTGCATGTTATTTTCCTTCAAATCCACCTGCACACAAATCCCATTACCACATTCTGCATCATACAACCAACAATACTGATTATGCCTTGAACCAAAATGCATTAAACATGGTTTTCCCCAACCAAAATCAGCTTCTTGTATAGAAAACCTACACAAACTTGAACTTGTGAACATGTCAACTTCATTATTTCCTCCCCATTCTTGCGCTACGAAACTGTCATTATATATTTTTGCCAGTGCAGAAACTACATCGTCTGATGAATTTTTGTCACAAGCAGTAATTGTTTTCGTCACAGTATCCCTTATCAATCTTACAAAGTTGTGCAACTCCATGTTGGGGATCTCCTCAGGTACAAATTTTACCGGAGCATCAATTACAAGATTTCCAAAAGATTTTGCTATTTGGGGTAAAGAAATCAGCTTAGTACGTAAGTTTATTGGAATGCCCATTATAGAACGTCTCAAATGCCCGTGTT